CTTAACATCCGTGGTCTGAATCTCTTCCTTTGGCCACCTTATTATTCCTGCAGGGTATCTGATCACTGGCAGGGCATAGCTGTTTATTGCCCGGGTCTTATTCTTGCCATTGAGCTGGCTTCTTAGGACTTGCCTCACTCGCTGGAGGTATTTGGCCGTAGCCGCTTTCCTTGTTGCCAGTTCAAGGTTCCCATTGGCTTGTGGTATGCCAAGACACTTGTAGCTGTCCTCAATGTCTGTTAGTAGTCCTTCAGGGAGTGAGACCCCTTCAGTGTGGACGAACTTGCCTCTCTTAGTCACCATCCGACTACATTTGTCAAGCCCGAATGACATCCCGATGTCACTGCTGTAGATCCTGGTTGTGTGGATCATGGAGTCTATGTCCCTTTCACTCTGAGCATACAGCTTTATGTCATCCATGTAGGGGAGGTGACTGATCGTAGCTCCATTTCTGATGCGCTATCCATAGCCTGTCTTGGCGATTACTTGGCTTAGGGGGTTCAGTCCTATGCAGAACAGCAGTGGGGAGAGTGCATCACCTTGGTGTATGCCACATTTGATGGACACTTGGGTAAGTGGCTTGCCATTGGCTTCAACTGTGGTTTTCCACATCCTCATTGAGTTCGCAACGAAGGCTTTTAGGGTCCTGTTCACCTTGTACAACTCCAAGCATTCAGTGATCCATGTACGTGCCATTGAGTCATAGGCTTTCTTGTAATCAATCCAGGCTGTGCACAGGTTGGTATGTCGGGACCTGCAGTCTTGTGCGACTGTTCTGTCAACCAGGAGCTGATGTTTGGCTCCTCTGGTATCTCTACCAAAATCCTTCTGTGATTCACTCATATATTGATCCATGTGTCCAACTCACATATTGATCCATGTGTCCACTTATCTTAGCCTCAATGATGCCTGACATGAGCTTCCATGTTGTGGAGAGACAGGTTATTGGCCGATAGTTGGATGGGACTGCACCCTTTGAGGGATCCTTCATGATCAGGATCGTTCGCCCTTTGGTAAGCCATCCTGGGTGAGTTCCATCCCTCAGCAGCTGGTTCAGTCTTGGTGGGTCAGCTCTGCTGTTAGGACCCTGCCACTGAGCGTACACTTTTGCAGGTTGTGTTGCGAACAGCCTGTTTATTCGTCTGGCCTCATTCTCTTTCGTGTACCTCTTTCGGCGACTGAACAAGTCTTGGAGCCTTTGTTTGGCAGTTTCGAGTGCTTCAGGTGTGGTCATCTGGATGTACCTCTCAGGTATCGGCCTTTTCATCACACCTCTCTGGGCCTCTGTCAATTGACTCACATCTTTCCGAGCTGCCTTGATCTTAGCCTCCATCCGTCTTTTCCATGGTGGGTAACGTGTCTCATGGCTCCCATGGGTGGTCCTATAGTCAAGGATCACTAGGGTTGCTCCTATAGCCAAGCATCACTAGGATCACTGATGCTGAAGCGTATATCAGCTCACTGGTTTCCGTGATCGTTATGGTAGGGATCGCCCTCAGTGCTGCATTCACACTTTGCATGAGACTTTTAGGTAGTACTTCACATAGCCGTTGTAATTAGCTTTCAGGTCAGTTGTTGCCTCGCTCAGCATTTCATTCATTGGGGCTGGCCTTCCAATCACATCATCTGCATTCATTGGGGCTTGCCTCCCAATCTCTGGTATGACCTCCTCCTCTGATCTGGCAGCCTGGGGCCCTTCATCATGGAACCTGCATTGTACCTCATCAATCTCAAGTTGTGACAGCA